AAAAAGTTCAATATGCTGTTAAAAATACACATCCCTTTATGGAATGGTCACAAGAAACATCTTGACATATAACACAAGGAAAGGATGTGTAAAAGAGGCAAATGAATAAATTCTGAGTCCCTAATACCAATGTGGAAAAAAAGTTCCTTTTTTCCAAATTAAATTCTATATATTAACACAATGAATCTAGAGACTTGTCAAAAAAGATAAAATCTGTATCTCCACAAAAACTTACTGAAAACAAACCTCTCAGTTTTTAGTAACTACAACAAATAAGTAAAATGTTATGAAGAAGGATGACAAAGAAATCCAGAGACATATTAGTAATGAAATGGAATAAAGATGGCTGAGACAGAAGAAAGATTAAAATGACATAATGCAACAGGCACTGAATCTCCTTTCCTAGAAGAGGGTCATTCCTTAATCTCTACTGGGGATCCTCTCCTAAGTATTTGTTCATTGGCTGATGGGGCCCAGTGACCTGTTATGATATAACCAATTCAAAATATCAAAACCATACACACCAGTAAAAATAATAAAAGTATTCTCAAACATTTGCTCTTGTCCTTGAAACATAGTTTAATGTGAGTCTGTAACAAGTGCTGCTGGGCTCCGTACATCTGCACATATATAAAGAAGCAAACGTGAAACAGCTTCCAGTGGCTAAATTTACATTTGATAATCATATATTGTGTAGCTTGTGAGTGTACTCTGAATCCTAAAGTAGGAATTCAACTGCAAATGGAACTTGATGGAACAGAATGAGCTCAGAATGGAACAGTCACTCAAACTACTTAAACTTTGAGACAAAATTCTCTAGGGAAAAAAAAACCAAAACAACGAATGATAAACAAATCACAAACTAAAAAAAATCAACAACTAACACAACAGGCCAAACCAATCCCATTTTCATTTTTCCTTAGAGTTTCTAAGGAAGACTGTGAGTACACTGGGATAGAACATGACTTCTGGGGTTAAGTAAACACAACTGAGGGATGCCAGTCAAGATTTGCTATATCCTTGTCCTTCAGATCAGGTCTCCAAATCAACCCTAGAGGCATGATGAACAGCAAACAAAACAAGGGAAAGGATATAAAAACCAGCTGATACCTAACTGCAGGCATTCAGAGATCTTGTCTTTTTCTTTCTTCTTTGCTCTTTACATATTTACAGGAAAACAGTACCTTTGTTTCATAAAAGCCATCTAGATTAGCTGTTTATTTCCTTTAAAACACAATCCCTATGTTATATCCCAACAGGTTGTTCTGACAACGACTGACATTTGCTACGTCCAGGAATCAAGAGTGGCAGCAGATGAATGGTTAAGAAACAAGAAACTCATTTGCAAGGAGGCTTCCTAAATAAACACAGAAGTCTGGTGGAGCATGAAGACATGCAAGTGGAGGTACATGAGAGGGTGAAACTCCAAAAGGCAGACTGGGACCTGAGCCAGCTGAGAGCACAGGAGGTCCAGGAGAGGAGTAAGTACAGGGACTGGAAATGTCCATGTGCTGGGTGTGAGTACTGCTACAGATCTCACTAACAGCCACTAAGAAAGGAATTTTCCTCTAATATTTTAAAAACTTAATCTGTAAATCTACTGGGAGCAACTGCACACCAGGAAAGCACAAACTGTCAAAGTGGCTGTCAAAGATCACACCCCTGAACTCAGCAAATGACAATGACTACATTTGCCAAGGTACACTGGCCCAACCCTCAAAATACAGGAAAAACACTTCAAGACAGGCTAGAGGAGTTTTCACCATAACTTCAGGTATATAAAATAAATCTGCTGGAAACAGCAGGTGAACATTAATTCAACCTGGGAAAGGCAGAGAGGGAATATAAATTAGAAGCTAATTTCACCTACATAAAACAGTCCTCAAATACATGTTCACAGTATGACATTAGGATGTCTCAAGTATTGAATTTTTTTCATGAACAATGAGAAAACATTCTGGTGAAGATATAGAAGTCTGGCTAGTTTATTAACAAAATCCAGTTTGTTCTTCCTTGGCATAACAATGAAATAAAAAGGGCAGCACTGTTGGATGTCAATTCCACTGGAAAGACCCTTTTCCATATTTCTTTCCTAATTAATCTTATTTTAGCTAAGATTATTGAAATTGAAATAATCCAAATCTATTTATGAAACAAATTCTGATTTAGCTCCTGAACCTTTTTCTGTTTAAATGAAAAAGAAGACTTGTCAGTATTATCTTATTACTAAGGTAACAGTGTCATTTTCTGACACTTAAAAATTTTATAAAAGGAATATTAACATTAGAAAATTAATTTAAATCTAAAATTACTACTGAGAGTTTATATAAAGATGTCTACTCATCAGTCTAACAACAGTCTGATACTTACATATTACAATTGCCTGGGCTTCAAGTACAACAACCAGGTAATAACCTTAGCTAAAAACTGCTGACAGTGCCTAGAAGAAAGTGCACTGCCTTCTTGACAGTCATTTCAGATATTTTTAACAAACACATGACTGTCTTGCTGTTAATCATTAAATACATATTTATCTCTCACTACCTTTTTACTCTTTTCTGTCCCCCAAACATGTTACATTTTAACTCCTTGGAAACATTTCTCCAGTTCATCTTTCTCCCTCCTGTAACCTGTACAGCATTGGGCACCCACTTTTTAATATCACCATAAAGTGGTCCCAAAACATGAATTCATGTGATCACTTGCTCTTGCAAAACCAACCATTTGCCTTCCAGCCCAACGTGTCCTTGCCTGGCCTGGTTTCATTAATTGGGATTCTGCAATGCACACCTGTGTTCCAGTCAGGGTAAGGCAGGGTATGCCAGCTGAAGGGCTGTTTCGGGAGCACTGAGGAGTCCATGTACCTTGTAAATGCAAACAGTAAAAACCCTTACATGATTAAAGTAATTGCTTTTTTATCTGTTCTATAAAGGTTTAATACAGACTCCCAACAAAAGTCTTTCAACAAAGATTTTATCCTCTTACCTCACAAAGTCCAAAGGGGAAAAAAAAAAAAAGAAAAAGAAATATAAGCAGTTGGGTAATGCTGCCCCAGCGATTTCCTGGTCTGCAGTGCCGTGCAAGACAGACGTGCTTGGCTAACCCAGGCTAGCAGCAAAACGTAAAAATATCAAATACAACAGTAATTATATACAACAGACGTGATTTAAAAAGTAACAAGCGAGTCTTACTGTATGAGCAATTCTCAAAATACAAGTAATGTCATGTACCAGCAGCTGACGCCTCGCGACATACCCAGAGCCAGACCCGTCTATCGCGACAGAGGCGCCGCTCCTGGGAGCGGGTCCGGCCCCGCACAGCGCACCACCGGGCACGGGCGGCCCCTAGGACGGCGCTTTCGGGGGAAACCCCGGCCGGCAGCGCCGGGCCGCGGTCCTGAGCTCGGGGGACGCGCGCTGGGCCCGCCGAGGGCACCGCAGCCGCGGCTCCGGAGGCTCCGGGCGAGGCCGGGGGTCCCGCGGCGTCTCCGCCCCGCTCCTTTGGAGCAGGCGCAGGCGGCTCCGGCCTCCCAGCGCCCGGGCCCGGCCCGGCCTCGGAGCCGCAACCCGGCCCCAGCTCCCCTCAGCACCCCCCGCCCGGCCCGGCCCGGCCCGGCCCGGCCCTGCTCACCGGCGGGTCCGGGTTCCCCGCAGCGCCGTGCCGAGCCGCCGCTCCGCCGGGCCCCGTCACCTGACCGCCCGGAAACGCGGTGGGCGGAAGGGCCCGGCCCCCGCCCCACCGACCGCGGCGGCTCCGCGCACCGGCCCGGCGGCTAGAGGGGGCCGCGGCGGGCAGGTGTCACTGCCCGCGGCCCCTCCTCAGCCCGGCCCCACGCAGACCCCGCGGGCGCTCGTTACCTCGGGCTCCTCCGGGGGGAACGGCCGGGGCTGCTCCGCCCGCGCTCGGCCCCCGCCGCCACCCCCGGTGCTGCGGGTGTGCGCGGCCCTGCTGCCCGGGGACGTGTGGCGGCCGCGGCCAAACGGCGGCCTCCGGGAACTGCAAGAAGTTCGTACCGAATGCTCGGCCCAAGCAGGAAGGGAGGAAAGAAAAGGAAGGACGGAAAAGGAAGGAAGGACGGAAAGGGAAGGAAGGAAGTTTGAGGGAAACAAATCGTTGACTTACGAGTGTAGAGTGCTAGAATCTGAGCTGAGAAACATCTCCAGAATGGAAACAGAGAGCTTGATAAAAGTATTTTGAGCTTGAAAAATGTATTTGTACAGTTGTGAGAAACCAAAGCAAGGGAGAGGAGGTGACCTGACTGAGAAGGCACTTCTGGAGGGTTTCACCCAGCTCCGGGGGCACCCCACCAGTCCTGAGGATTCCAAGGTACAAAACAGCCCAAAATTGCCTGTTCTTGTATACAGTGGAGAATGGGTGATTCCTAAACCAAGGTCTTCCACTAAAGAAGTTGAGTTTTATGAGGCAATAGTGAAGAAATTAAGGGAAGCTTGTGCCAAGGGAGCCAATTGGAGAGAGCCCAAGGATATTGTCAGCGGCCTGAGACTGCACAGCTCTAGTGTGAAGGCTGGAATGTGCAAGCCAGGAAATGTCCAGCAGAATAAAAACAGTTCTACAGAGTCCTGCTGCTTTCAGGAGCACATAGGCTTGGCAAAACCCACGGCAAAATGGTTATCCAGAAGCCCACCTGGAATCACCAAACACGTTGTTGTATATGTAGTGCATAACGCGATAGGGCTGATGGCGTGAGGAGCACACAAAGCAGTCCTACCTGCAGGAACACTGAAAATCTCTAACAAAGCAGTTCTCTTAATTTTCAATCAGTCAGCAAAGCAGCAGGGTTGGGCACAGCTTCTCCATTCAAGCGAAAATCTGTCATGTCAGTGTAGTATCTGATTAGGAAGTTACCAGGGCCCCGAGGACATGAACCGTATCCTCCAGAAGCTGATTAAAACAGGAATGAGTTTATGAAATTCGGGTATGGGGAGCCTTGTCAAACTACAGCTCCCGGCGTGCTCTGCGGCTGGACTACAGCTTCCGGCATGCGCCGCGGCCGTACCACAGCGCCCAGCGTGTCCCGCGCTTGCAAGATGGCGGCGCCCGGGTGCGGCTCGGGCCCGGACAGCGATACCGGCTCGGACTCGGACTCGGACAGCGGCGGTGAAGCGGCCGCGCGGTTCCGGGAAGCTGCCTGGGACTGCACCGCGCAGGAGGCGGCGGCGCGGGCGGAGCCGCACGGCGGTGAGGGACGGCGGACAGGCTGGGCTCTGCTCCCCCTCTGCGGCGTGCCCTCCTCTCTCTTCCCCGCCCCGCCGCTCCGGTCCGGCCCCCTCAGCAGCTCCTCCTGACCCGCGGGGATTCCTCCCTGCAGTGGTGCCGGTGCCAGAGCTGAAGGGGGCTCTGCCTGGTCCTCCCGAGGCCATCTCCGGCCTCCAGCCGGGCCCAGAGCCCCTTCCCGGCAACCCTGGCCTGGGGGAAGTTTCCCTTTCCCCTCATAACTGTTCTCACCCGAAGGTGGGCCAGCGCTGTCCTTCAGACATTATTCTTTATTTCCTAACATGGGTCTGATGGAGGTAAAAGAGATCCTGGCCGCAGGTCTCCAAATGTGCCTTTGCTACTTTCTTTTCAGGGGGCTTTAGAAAGGACCGGTTGCAGCTTAAAGATCAGCCAAGCCTGAGGTATTTTTGCTTCTGGTTTCAGATTTAATGTTTTCCCTGAAGAAAAAAAGAATGTGTAATATCTGTGCTGCTTCTACTTTGTACCTTGTGATACTTCATATTGAAAGGGCCAATTCTGTTTGGGGAATTAGTCCAACCATAATCTGAAATAATGCTTAAATCTGAACAGACTAATATGTTTTTAAGGGTTTGGGTGAGGAGGGACAGATGTTATTAGCCTCGAAAGAAATAATCCTTGTTCTTATTTCAAACGGGCGTGAGGCAATCAGCCGTGAGGAGGGTGACAATGAGCTCCAAACGACTCCAGAGTTCAGAGCACACGTTGCAAAGAAACTGGGATCCATGCTAGACAGGTACTGGCATGCAAGGCTAGGAAAGTTTATTCTGTGGGTCAGTTACACTGAAGCGCTTGTTCGCTAAAGCCAGGAAGTTCAATGTCTTAAGTACAAGGTTCCAGTATTCTGGGACCTAACCTTGCTGATGTGCTGTGCCCATCTGGTTAAAACTCTCTGTGCAGCACTGCTTGTCTCCATTTGCCTCTGTGGTGAGCATCTTGTGGGGAGAAAAGAGAATTTGGGTGCCTTAGCACTTCCATCATGTAAAAGCTGGCAGAAGAATCTTTGATTTGTTCTTGCAACCTAAACCAATATCTGGTTCAGGGTTGTGCTGGCAGAATGCCTGGTACTGAGCTGCCACTCTCCATCTATTGTTCAATAGAACAGTTTCTGGAGAACTGTTCAGAGCTGGCTTTAGAAACACAGTTTCTAAACTATTCTTGTGACTTGCACTACTGAGGAGAGAAGGCCTGGTCTGCTCTGGAAACAGGGAGCTGAGGCAAACTAACAAAAAAAGATATATGCAACATCTCCCTCTAGTCTTGTTTCCCAGAAATACCCAACTTTAGCTCAGTTTGCACAAACCTGTCTAAGATCTGACTGGGATTTTCTGTTTAGCTTCATCACTGTCTTCAAGGACCCATCAGGACCATCACAGACTTTGGTGGTACAGTCTGACTCTGAGGATGATGGTGAGTTCCAGTCTCAGCCATTGTGGCTGTTTTGTGACTGTTAGCTGCTGACAGGTGGGATGGATCCTGTCCATCACCAGCTGTACATCCAACTTTTAACATTTGCACTAAAAGAATTTCTGTTGGTGTCTGTGAGGGCTGTTACTTTGCAGCTCTGACCTCTGTGCTGAAAGTCCTCCCCCACAGTCCCAAATAATTGCTGTCACGCACTGTGGGGATACAGTAACAGTGCTGTATCTTCCAGGAAAACAGCAGTTGATTGTTTCCACCTCTGTTTTATATTCTACCTAAATCCCCCCTTTCCATACTTCAGGTTTTCGCCTCTTCTCTTCCTCTGTCCCTGGAGACTGTGGGAAACCGGAGCCTTGCCCTGCAGCAAGGAGGAGGAGGCCAGTTAGCTCCAGGTGAGGTGCTGGAAGCTGCTTTGCTCCTCAGGTACTGTTGCATCCCACATTTTAGAGGCAGCTGGGACTCCCACAAGGGAATAGGAAGCTGAAGAGCTTGAGAAGTGTGTATTTATGACTTTTATATTTGACTAGACCAGAATTTTGTTCTTATTTAGTGCTGGGGAAATAGAAATGTTTGTGGGAGATTTTCTTTTCCTCCTGGTATGGAGGGGAAAAGAACACATTGGCTTTCAGACTGGTTAAATGCAAACTGTAGGTGTGGGAGTCCCAGAGCCACTGGGACCTGTTTATCATGTGTTCTCATCTCAGATTACTCTGCTGTCCAAGTTTTGGGTGAATTCAAGGCAGAAGTGCAATTCAACTTCCTTCCCTCTTGTTACTTTTCCAGTGACTCAGACAGTGACCAAGAGTGGCAAAGGTACCGGGAGGCTGCCGTGTCACCTGCGGATATTCTGAAGCAAAGTGCTTTTCCTGCATTGTCCCAGGGTTCCAGCCAGGATCAGAATCAGAGTTATGTAGAGCCCAACCAGAAAAAAAAAAAAAAGAAGAAGAAAACTGGGAGACAGAACAATATTCAAGAGAAAATAATAGACCCAGCAGAGTGTGACCAGATCTGCAAAGATTTGCCTCAGTTGGTGTCTGCAAATGGCCAACAGGAGAGACAGGACAGCAATCACAGAGAGAACTCTGTGCTGCCAGGAGCTGTGAAGAAGAAAAAGAAGAAAAAAGAATGATGATTTTGCTCTACAAACGGCAGGTGGTTGTGATGGGTGAGGGAAACTGAAAGAAAACCTAACAACAAGATTTGCTGCAGATGAGGGAAAATTAATTGGCAGAGCTTCTGCTCTAAAAGCTCAGTGGCCTGAGAGACTAATTAAGTGACTTCCTGTGCTACTGGCATCCCCAAGGAAGGGAACATTGTTCTCCTCACACAGCAGCAGTCTGTGCTGCTGCTTATGCAGGCCCAATCTAAAAGTATTAAATACTGTGCCAGACTTGCATGGCAGAGGGATATGATCATAGCTGCATTCCTCCTGGTCTGTTCTTCATATCATGAAACTCTTCTGGAGAAAGTATATGATGAATTGAATTTGGTTTACATGGCAACAGGTGATCAACTGCTTTTTCTCTTTGCTTCTTTGTAGACTACTGAGAATAGCTCCAGCTCGTGGGAGACTCATTTATCAAAAGCATCCTGTCAGAAATCAGGGCCCCTTATTTTTTCCCAGCGATCATCATAGCAATCTGTTGTTGAAACCTGCTGTGTTACTAATCCCTCTGCAATCTGCACCTCTCCAGGGCCCCTGCACATAAACAATGTGTGGTGAGCTGATTTCAGGGTTGGTGTAAATGCATCCTACTGTTCCAGTTGTGTCCACTGAAAATTTTTTTTCATGTATAGGGTTTTTTTTTATGGCATCTGTTGTTATTAAATTTTACTACACTCTTGGACCTACTTAATTTGATAGGTTTTGTACAACAGTGACTTTCTTGTTGTATTCAGATTCTCTCCAGCAGAGATAGAGGTGGCTTAGGATGGCTTTTTTGTTGCTGGGTGATCGACGCTATGGAATTGCTACAGGAAGGACTTAAGCCTGATTTAAAAACCACATTTCAGTTCTTGTTTGAGCTGGTTAATGACTTTTGTCTCTCTGAAATACTGTGAGGTTTGGTAGTTTTCAGTATGACTCTTTGTCTGTTTATTCTTCACTTCCAGTCTTTCAGGAAATTAGCTGTTACTGATAAATACTCTACTTCTGTTTTTAAGATTCCTGGTTTTCAGTAAATCCAATTTACTGGCCCAATTCAGAAGATCAGAAAGCCAGATTAGAGAAACCAAAAGAGTGAAGTATAGCTCTTTGAGCATGGGAAATTGTTATAAGATTCTTGCTGGTTTTTAGTCAAGAAAACACAGCTGGCGTCCAAAAATAGAAAAGCTAAGTAGAAAATTGGCTTGTAACCTAACAGAATGTGCCAGCAGAAGTTATTTGTGTTACGTGCAGTTAAAACTTCAGTGTACTGGATTTTAAACCTGGGCTTTCAAATGCATGGTGGCCTAAACATTTCCTCTTGATTTATTTTGGGGTTATTTTTATGCTAACTGGAAAATAGATATATTTGCAACTGATGTACATGGGAAATCAGGAAACAATTCTAGGATGAAATTCCTCAGAGAATCTAGTTACTGAAACTGTTGATAGTATCTAGAGGAAGCTCTTATCAATGAAACTTTTCACAGACATCAGCCATTTTGACATTCCCAGGTATGATAACTGAAGAGTTCACTGTTGGGCTTTTTCAATTCTCCCAGTCTCAAGGTTTTTCATCCATTTCACAGTTGAGAGAGAAGCTCAGTTTCAGTCATAGACAAAAACCTGTTAGTTGGGGTTGTTTTCATGTCTGGCTAATGACATATCAGTGATGTGGATGTTGAGAGTAAATAGAGAGGAATAATTAGAAGAGGAATTACAGAAGTAGATCCTTGGGACTAAAACCCTTCACTTAGTGCAAGCAAGACTCTTAGACCCTAGGGTAGTTATTTGCATACCAAGAACTACAAATGAAGCTTACATGGAAGCTGAGAATGAGCCATGTTCTGTAAAATTAATCCAGGCTGAGTGTTAATAGAGAAAACTGAAGGAACCTCTACTCTTTGTGGAGCATGGGAACCTCTCAGGTGCTGGGCAGTGTCAGGGACCAGTGGGGAATGCCATCCTGCAAATAATTTAGCAGATAGCTAAATTATATAGCAGATTATTCATAGCAGATGAGATGAGAATTCACAGGGTTAATGCAGAGAACTGGAATCTCCTTGCAGTTGTTAAACTTTAATTTCTGCATTTAAAACAAAGCAGAGCTATATCAAAAACAACCAAGCCATTTCCACTAGGATAGCATGATTTTAGAGCAGGTCGTTTTTCACTGAGAATGTTTGGTATTTTGGTAGTTAATTAAGGGTTTGGAGCTTGTTGGTGACCCCATACTCACAGGTTTGTGCCAAGCCATTCTCAAATCTGTTTCTTGGTTGTTCTTGTTGCAAAGTCAGAAACTTCCAGGGTGCTGTTATTTATTCTAGTTCCTGTTGGTGCTTCCTTGCAGCAAAGGAGGAGAGTGTTTAAAGGTGGTCCCTTCTTTGGCAGCTCAGCTTTGCTCTTTCCCACATGATTTAGTCTGGTGTTGGCAGGTTTGTGCAGGCCCAGCTTGATGAAAGTACAGCTGAATGAAAGTCCCATCCACGTCCTGGCAGCGTTTGGATTCCTTCTTGGGCAGCCACAAAAGGATGTCTGGCCATTCTGAGCTGGCTCAGAATGTGGTGTAGGTTTGATGTTTTGGGAGAGGGGGGTACAGTGGAGTTTAGCAGTTCCAGCATCATCTTTCCATGTTTTCTGTCTTGAGCCTGAGACATTTTCTCTCCTGAAGGCAGCTGAGAAGGGGCTTGTGTGCGGCTGTAGTGGCAAACACGGCTGGAGTCGCACCTGGCAGGTTGGTGGTGGCAGTCACTCAGGAGCTACTTGTGGTGGTTACTGGGTGGAAGATGCCATCTGTGTGGAGATGAAGGTCTCAATGACGTTGTGAGTGGATGGCAGCAGCTGGCTGTGGCTGTTGGTGGAGTCGGAGCTTTGGTACAGCACCAGGCTGCTGGAGGACACTGCCAAAGGTACAGGCAGAAAGAAGTCAGTTGCAGATTCTCATCAGTCCCCTAATTGCGTGTGCACACCCCCCACTTCCAGCATGGCTGTACTCTCCTGGCTTAGGGGCAGAGCTGCTTTTCTGTGTGTTTTGTGTGCTGCTGAATAGCTGGCTTGGGTCCACAGCCAGCCTGAAAACATTGAGGGCAGCAATCTCTAGAGTGTTCAGTTCTAGGAATTCCAGTTGATGTCCCAGTTCTCCTCTTAGAACTGGGATGACCTAATTGGAGCCTTCACAAGAGAGTCTTGGGCTTCTCAGCCCTGAAAATTGCCCACAGAACTGGGTACTCATTGATACTGATTTTGTTGATATTTTTCAAGATATTTTCCTTTCTAGATTCTGAAGGGACCAATTTCCACAGTCTGGCCTTACATGGACTCTGCTCTGAATCTTCATTGTATTGACTTTTCAAACCCCTCAGGACACTGACAGAGCCAATTCAGGGAATTGTGAACCCAAATTACCAGTTTGTAATTGTATTTTACAGTGTTGGCAAGAAAAACTAGGCAATACATGGCTTAACAGCCACAAGAGTGGCTGCTGCTCTTACCAGCAGGGCTCGAGGTGAGGCGTGGGGCTGGCTGAAGGTGCTGGATGGTTGTGTCTTGGTTCTGTAGATGGATTGTTGGTGCCTGTGACACTGGTGTGTGCATCCCAGACTCAGTGTGAGTCTCCGAGTCAGGTGTGAATGCCTAAAGAAAAGAGAGTTAATAGTGCCTGGCTTCTATATCCCTTCTAACAGCTGTGAGAGAAGCACTGAGCAGGGGCAGTTTCTGGGGAGATGAAATCCTCCTTGGTGATGCAGTGAAGAACTTGCTCTAGTGCCCCCAGTACTGCAGCTGGTACCAGCAAGGCCAGGAGATAAAAAAGAGGCTTCTGCTGGGATGGCATAGACACACCCAAAACCTCTTTGACATGCAAGGGGCTGCCTGCAGACTGGTGCAGCTCTCAGGATGGGGAACAAAGGCTGAATAAAGGCTGTTACCTGTTTAGTTGGTGTCAGGTTGGTCAGGGCGCTGAGATTGGCTGTGTCTGTTATCACCATGGTTTGTGGTAAGAGGCCTGTGTGCGTGTATTGAGTCACTTCAGATTTGGGACCGTAGAGAGCTGTATATGAAAGAAAACAACATCATGTGGATGCTGGAGCTCTGGCTGAGTTGTTCTCCTCATGCAATGGGACCTGCTGTCTGTCTCCAGAATGCTGGGAGTGGAGGGACAGGGAGATAAATGCAATAGAAAAATAATTTCATAATTAGAGCGACAATAACAGAGGAGAAAAACAGAGAGCTGTAAGCTCAAGGCAAATGCTCCAGAACAGTGTCTTTATTTTTGTTTACTTAAGCAAATGAGCTCAAGTTCTTACCATGAGGGTTCTGTATCTGAGCCATGGTAGCCATGAAGGGGCTCTGGTTGATGTGGCTCTGGACTTGCTGCATGAGGGGTTGCTGGTAGGATGGGTGCAGTTGCTGGGAGAACTGGACAGGCTGCAGGGTAGTGAGGCTGCTCCCCATGCTGTTTATTACAGGAACACTCTGGGGCTGGGTTGAGGCCAGGCCTGGAAAATAAGGATTGATGCCAGTGGTGTCCCACACTGCAGGAGGAGAGTGGCTGCTCTGCAACAGGGACATCTGAAACAGCCATTGTGGCAGCCTGTCACTGCAGGGTTTTTCCAGATCCTGCTTTTCAGGTGTTCTTTTGGTTGTCTGTGATTAAGAAGAGATTTCATGCCTGTGAGAGCAAAGTGGAAATGTCCAAAAACTGCATAAACCCACCTCTGATTTCCAGGGCTTGTCCTTGTCTACATCCTTGTGTACCAGTATAGCCCCTTTTCAAGTTTAGTGATCAGCAAGGGAGGCCTTGCTCAAAAATAAATTCAGAGCATCACCTCAGTGCCCAGTTAATTTACTCTTTTTGTTTTATGAAGCTGTTGGCAACAGAGACAACTAGGCTGTAGCTGTCCAGCCACGTGGAATGGAGTTTCAACTCTTTTTGCTAGGGCTGCCAAATTAAGGAATTTGAATCAGTGAGAGAGGTAGAAGGTTTCACACATTACTGCCCATTTCCCACAGCTGTCCAGACCCTGTTCCTGTAAATCAGCAGGTCTCCCCAGCACTCCAGTTTTATCTTTTTTTTGTTTGCACAGAATTCAAATCCATATCATAATCTTGGGAAGAAGTGAAAATTAGTTCACAGCTGTCACCATGGAACAAAACAAGACATCTTTTTTCCTGGGAAGAAAGTAAGAGAAGAGTATACATTTTATTTTCCTTTCTCTAATGAGATGCACTTTGGCAGTAGACTAGTTTTGGAATGAAAAGAAATCTCATAAAAGTCCAGAAAAGCTGTCAAAGTGAAAAATACAAAAAAATAGTAATTACTGCTGTGGATTCCAAAGGCATATGCTGCTCTTTGCAGGAAGT